CATTTAGAAACTTACCATTTTTCCATTTTACTTACCTAGTTTTCTGAAAAATAGGAAAAAGCATATCTCAGATGAAACCCCTCAGAATTTCATATTTATCCGCAAAATGCATATCATTCAGTCCACTACTTTTAACATTTTAATTGAAAAATTCATCATAGGGGAATAACCACAATTCTCAAGTATAATGACACAAAGTACTAAACTATTTCATTCTTATTTTAATGATGAATCAAACTGAATTACAGAAATATTCATCAAAAATTTCCCAAAAATATCATTAGGTTCTGCTCAGTAAACATGAAAGTTTCTTCTCACAGACTAAGTCTCTGAAGTCTGACATGTGAATTTTATTCATAATTCATCACAGCAGAAGATTAACACATTTACAGTAAAACTTTATAGGTAATTCAACAAAACAATGAAAGAATTCACCATGTAAAAACAGATTTAACAGATGCTGATTGAAGCAGCTCTCATTCCAAAAAGCTTAATCGCTCATTCTAATTATCGGAATAGCGTATACTGCCTCAAAGGCAAAAATAATCATCGAGCTCATATTTTAGATTTCAATCAAAAACACACAAAAATATTTAAAAAATACCAAAGTATGAAACTTTGAAGTAATTAGAAGGAGATCAGAATAAAACACTGGTTTATCAGTCACGGTAATCAGAAACACGGACCAATAGTGTATTCATCATCTCTCTGGAGATCAAATCCCATCAAAACTCCAAATGGAAGACAAAATTAAAAACAAAACAAAAAACAAAATTGATGAAATCGAAATCATCAGAGACTTAAATACAATGAATCACGGGATAGTAAATTCATATTGTTGCAGTTTTTTTCCTCATCACATGATACCGATTCATCAAAAAGCACATCCAAAAACTGAAAATCGCATAAGAAACTAAACGAAACAGATAATGATTCGAAGCGTGGAACGATGCAGAATCCGAAGCCAGTTGAACAGAATACCTTCACGTCTGATTGTCAAAAGTCCCAATTCAGCCTTTATAAGCAAATGTTGGGGGCGGGGAGCACTCTAAAACCCTAATCATGGAGGCGCAAGTAAATTGGACTTCTGGGCTTGCGATGGATAAGCTACAACGACGTAAAGGGCTTAGAATACAAAATGATGATGGACGAAACTAGCCTCAATCTCAGCCCAATCCCAATTGTGATTTATTTACCCAATCCATGTATGCTAAGAGCCCAATAATTTTAGAACCAATCATTATTTCATAAACCATGATCCTGTGAATCATAAATAAAAAGTACATTTTTAATATACTAAAAGCAAATTATTTATATACATAAAGTACATGATTTTTTATATATTATCAAATAATGTACATTTAGTACACAAATAATGTACCTTTAGTATATTAAAAATGTATATTGTATTCCCTGTTCCACACAATAATTTGCCTTCTAGATTGTTAGGCCTATTGCGATATTATTACGGCTCTGTTTGGCAAGGCTAAGCTAGGAGCTTATAGCTTATTTTAAGCTACTAATAAGCTATAAGCTCTGTTTGGTAATGTTCCAAAATAAGATCCTAGCTTAAAATAAGAGCTTATTTTAAAAAGCTACTTCAGGTAGCTTTTCAAAATAAGCTACTAGCTTCTTAACTTTTTTTTCCATCTTTACCCTTATTATTTTAAAGTAATGACATATTTTAACCTTATGAATTAAAATCATTTCTCTTCCCCTATCCCAACTTTCACGTCAATCCCTTATTATTATTATTATTATTATTATTATTATTATTATTATTATTATTATTAAATTAGCAATATGGCTTCAACCAATGACAATATTGCTATTTCATTATGGGATGCTAGATCATGATCATGCTAATAGTTTTATTTTAAAAATGTTTATTTTTTTTGAAGACGAACTGTTAAATTTTAATATATAAACAAACTAATTTAAATTTTATGAAGATGTCCTTTTTAGTCTTTTTACATTTATCAGCTTATCCAAAAGCTAATTTTACCAAACACTTTCAATCATAACAGCTAGCTTAACAGCTCTTCAATTTTCAGCTCCGAGCTTATAGCTTTTCAGCTTTCAGCTCCTAGCTTATAGCTTTTCAGCTAGGTTTGCCAAACAGAGCCTACAACTCTTGACATTGACTAAGGATGTGTTTGGTTGGCAAGTTTAGCACTTAGGTATGGGTATGAAAATGATTATTATTGTTTGGTTGACTGGTTTTTAACACACTACTATGATTTTGGAATACCTCATTAATGAAAAAAATTCATGCCCTTATTTTATAAGGGTTTCATTCTATTATTCATCCTTAGCCTAATCATTCTCATTTCACCCTACTACCAAACATGCAAAATACTTTTACCAAAACTTATTACCATTACCAAGTATTTGATACTCATTCCAGTTCTGATTCCCACGTGCGAACCAAACACACCCTAAAATTTTTCTAATATTTACAATGCTAGATTATCAATTTCAAAATGTTTGATTCAAATAGTGCAAAAATGTTCAAATTTTGTCTTCAACTACATTCATAATGAGCAGAACCTAACCATTTGTGATGAATATAAATACAGAATTCAACTTTTAGGCTGTTTTGGTGAGATTCAGTATTACAATTAGATAATATATATGCATTAAACTTTTAAGATTAGAGAAGATCAGAATCCGATCTGCAGGGCATAGAACTCAGATCTCTACCAATTTCCTAATCCTTATTTAATTGACAGCTACTACTTACTCTCATATAATAATAACATTAATGGTTAGACCTGCAGGTAGATGAACATTGCTTGCTATACTTTTGACTGAACTGGTCGCTGGTTCCTTAAATCTGATCGAGTTGTTGACTACTTTGTTGTCTGTTGTCTTACTTGTGGTATTGCTGAAAAATATAATTTGAATCGAAGATGTTTTACGAATGTTTTATTAATTAAGTGATATGAAGCCGTGATGTGTTTTATAACTATTGATGTGATAAATACGGTGGTTTCACGAATACATACAAGTACTGAGGTCATACATGGTTTAGATCTTTCTCTAATTTACTTGTTAGTTTAAGTCATGAGTTTGGGAAATGATGTAAGGTCAGAGCGCCCCGAGCTATGTAGTGATAGATGGAAAAGTGTCCAAAAGTATCCTGGCATGTGCACCTTGCATATTCGGTATGTGTGGCACGTGAAACTTGTGCATTGGGCAAGGTTGGAGGCTATGCAGATCACTCCATGTGTGCTAAGATGCTTGACTCACTTAGACCGCGTCATTATTAGGCCTCCAAGTAGTGCAGGTCGGCTTGTCGGTCCCGTCCTAATATGGTCGAGAAGAGGCGCTAAAGGGCAGGTGCTGCTGCTGGGTGAAAACCTACTTGATAATACACACAGTTGGGTCAAGTCGTGATCACCTTGAGTTCGATCATGCTCGGTAATGACACTACCATGCGGAGAGACCCGACACCGAACATGTATACATTAATAATACATAATACATACGGGAATAATCCCTATCACTCCTTTTATTCTTTAGTTACAATTGTTGGACAAAACATACAAACACGAGCTAGAACTAGAGTTGACCCCATTTTGAGGTTGATGGAATTGAATGAAGTGATATGCTTTAACTACAAGTTTAATTTGATAGTTGGACGGTACATTTAGTATTTACATGTGTTTGATTTGTATATAAAATATAATAATCTGAGTTATGTATTAACAAAAAGTTTGATAATTATATTGCATGTTTATTATTTTTATATATTGTATACTCAAAATATTAAGGATTGTTATACTCCAAAATCCATGACTGACCTTTCACTTGATGTTGCCTTACCCGTTCTCAACAATCCATGAGAAGTGAAATGATTCACTCATCTTAGCTATAGAGATTAGTGGATGAGGTAAGTTACGGGATTTATGTCACGTGACATACTATATGCTTTATAAATTATGAGGATGAACCAAAATTTTGTGGTTCAAGTTCATTAATTAATGTTTGATATTTGGTGTCTGTATGAGCATATCCACTGCATAAGTAAGAATCAATTCGAATTCAAATGTTTGAACCATAATGTTAAGTCTTCAAGATGTGATCCGATTCCCTTCATGATCCATCTCTACTGAAATTGGGATTGGTAGATATCTTACCTACTTTATCTTAAATAGTTATTTGAACTCAAAATAAAATAAACAATATTGTTGCAATGATTTACATGTTAGGTGAAGTATTTTACAGGTTTGGTAGTATGGTGGAATTTGAATGATTACCAATATTAATATTTGGTTGTGTATGATCATATAATAGTGAGAGTAAATGTTTTAAATATACAAAAACAAAAAATCAAGACAATTGATCAATCCTAATATAATGACATCTAACGCGTCAATATGAACAAAAAAAAATTAAAAGTACTAATCCAAACTAAAAAAAAAATATATTACAAATAAGATGAAATATATCATTTTTAATTAGGGAATGAGATTTTTAATTGAATGGATACTCAAATCACATAGCGGTGTTTAAACAAGTTATCAACCAAAATTTGGTTGGTGTGACTACGTGAGTGGCTGTGTACTCTCATCTCTTAAGAAATGTTGGGAATTCGAATCCTTTCTCTTATGAAACAACCAATTTGGCCAACATAATAGTACATACCTTATTGGTTTCAGTAGCAGCTGCGGCCTTTCTTATAAATCAAATACTCCCCCTAGTTTAAGACTAAGGTTCTAATTTCGAAGACAATAATATAAGAATTATATTCAAAGTGAATAAATTTATTATGCACATCAACATTTTACCTTATCTGCTGAACCAGTCACAAAATGAATTTTATGATTGCGGACTTTCTCCGTAAATTAAAGAAATTGAGAAGTAAAATGATAAAATGGGTGTAGTCAAAGGATGGTTTGGGTAATTAAGTGGTGTATAAAATTTAGATCCAATAAGGGCAGGCCAGACACAAATGTTAGTGCTGTCTCTACCATTGTTACGATCTCGGGTCGTCCTATATATGCATGGAGTTGTTGTATGTTTTGTCTGCAAGCTGTTAGATTCCTAGGAGACTGTGACGACCCAAACCCCAACTCTCCAACCCACTTTCACTCTCATTGGGTCTCCCAAAACCTCTCTCACACAGCCCAACTCCATTTTCAAATTTGAAAAACCTCAACTTTCTCACTCCCCATTCCCAGTCACGGGCTCTATTGGCGCCCGCATCTTCCTCGCTGCACTTTGACCGCCTCGGCGTCGCCAAAATCCCATTTTGACCGCCACCCATTTGTGTTCCCTCCTGCGCTCGCTTTAAACCCAAACCCTACTCTACTAAAAGAGTATCAGTTTCTTGCCAAACCCAGAAAAAAAGCATGAGCAAAGAGCCCAATAATAGCGGCGATGGCGGCGAGCTCAAGGTCAGTTTGGGCAACACCAGCTGCACCAGTCTTGATTTGTGTAGCCCCACGTTTACCGTGTCTGAGAAGAGTAGCGTGGGGAGTAAGGTTAGCGATGGGTGTTTCGAGGGGAAAGATGCCATTTTTGTGAATGGCGAAGCTGAAAGTGAGAAATGTAGCTTCAGTTCGGGTAGTTACTGTAATGGGGGTGACCCGAATGAAGGTAGTTTTAGGATGTCGAAACCGCACAAGGCTAACGATGTTCGGTGGGATGCCATACAATGTGTGTCGGCTAAGGATAGGGAGTTGGGTCTGGGGCACTTTAGGCTTCTGAAGAAGTTGGGGTTTGGGGATATTGGGAGTGTTTACTTGGCTGAGCTAAGAGGGATAGGGTGCTTGTTTGCAATGAAGGTCATGGATAAAGGGATGTTAGCCACTAGGAAGAAGGTGATGAGAGCTCAAACCGAGAGGGAGATTCTTAGTTTATTGGACCATCCATTTCTCCCTACCCTTTACTCACATTTTGAAACAGACAAGTTTTCCTGCTTGCTTATGGAGTTCTGCAGTGGTGGGGATCTGCATTTGCTCAGACAACGTCAGCCTGGCAAGCATTTCTCGGAGCAAGCAGCAAGGTTAGTTAGTTAGCTTTTAATTATGTTTCATTTGATGTTTTTCCTGTTTCTGCCTTTCTGGTGTTTGAATGCTCAGAAACCTCTTTGCTTAAGAATGAGATTCTCATTTGTATATCTTCAATCACTCAAATGATGTGTCATGTCCATAAAGATGTTTGGTAAAGTCAAATGTTTAGTTCTTAATTATGCTTCCTCTTCCTTTCTTCAAAGGCTAGATAAGAAAGGTAGCACTTGGGGAGCTTGTGGAGCCTCCTTTTTTCTTATTCTTGTCTCTTTTCCTTTTCCTTTTCTTAAAATACTTTATTTTCTTGGTTTACTGTATGTGAAAAGAACAATCATCTAGCTAATACTAGGTAACAACCATCTTTTTGGATGGATTATGTTTTATCTATTGGGTTATTGGGAGCTCCTATTTACCAAAATTTGCTGTCTTTACTTACTTTTGTGGACAGTTGATGGTGGATTAGTTCGATTGTGAATAGAACGACAGGGTTATATGGTTCGTTGATGGTTGAAAAATTGCATAATAATTTGTTTCGATTTTTGGTTGTTAGGTTTTACGCCTCAGAGGTGCTTCTTGCGCTTGAATATCTCCATGTGATGGGAGTTGTGTACAGGGACTTAAAGCCCGAAAATGTCATGGTGAGGGAAGATGGGCATATTATGCTTTCGGATTTTGACTTATCGTTGAGGTCTTGTGTGAATCCCACTCTTATAAGCTCCAGCAGTGAACCGTCTTGCACGATCTCTTCGTATTGTATCCAGCCAGCGTGTGTTGATCCAGCCTGCAAATTACCCATTTGTGTAGAGCCCGTGTGCTTTCAACCGGCTTGCTTTAAGCCACGCATTTTCTCCTCCAAAACTGCCAAAACGAAAACCGAACGTGCCCCTTTTGTTAGTTTAGATTCAAGGCCTGTATTGGTTGCAGAACCAACTGGTGCAAGGTCCATGTCTTTTGTCGGGACACATGAATACCTCGCCCCTGAGATAATAAGGGGAGATGGGCACGGGAGCTCGGTTGATTGGTGGACGTTTGGCGTGTTCTTGTACGAGTTACTTCACGGGAAGACACCCTTCAAAGGAAATGGAAACCGAGAGACATTGTTTAATATCGTTGGTCAGCCCTTGAAGTTCCCGGAGGGCTCTGCAGTTAGCTATGCTGCTAAGGACTTGATCCGAGGTCTGCTAGTGAAGGACCCTCAAAAACGATTAGGATACAAAAGAGGCGCCACCGAGATAAAACAACACCCGTTCTTTGAGAGCATTAACTGGGCTCTAATCCGGAGTACTCACCCACCCGAGATTCCAAAACCAGTTGATCTTACGTTTTTGAAGCAAACATTCAAGCCACCTGCGTGTGAAAGCCAAGCCTCCGACTCTGCCAGGTCATCAGGTCCTTATTTAGATTTCGAATTCTTTTGAATGGATTTTCACAGAATTGATTGTAGTTAGTAGTGTTTATCGAGGCAATCTGATGCCCGTTGCCCGAGCTTATTTGTATTCTGTAAGAAAATTGACTTCACCTTACCAAAATCTTTCCCATCTTCCAATCCAATAATAAAGATCATGCTCTTAGTCGTTCCATTCTTTTATGCTTTTACTTTTCAGTAAAAATCGGCATGTACATAAACTCATAGGAATCACTTTAAAATTAGTTTCCTTTTACTCAACCGAAAACATTTACACTGCTGTTTTCTGTGGTTGAACGCCTAGAAGATGACATCTGCTTGTGACTCTTAATTGCTTTTCAGAACTCACTTTACAGATCTTTTGTTTGTCTGTAATCGGGAGGGCCACCGTGCCTTTCTTTCTCCTGTAGCTACAAAGCAAACATCTTTGACGATGTAGACAAATGATGAAAAAGTTTAATGGTAAGTGTTGGACAATGATATGGTGGTTTATGTATGTGTTCTGTCACGCTTTTTTCTAGGACTGTGCTTTCTTTGAACAACTAATGGGCCTGTCTTAGGTGGTTGTTCTAGGACTATGTTGTTCTCTGTGTTCTCCCAACATTCCCTCCACCATTCTCAGCTGTCAAGGACCACAGTATATATAGACAGTATAGTGAGATTTTTTATTATTATTATTTTTTTTTTTGCATTTCTTTAAGGCTAATAAAGCAAGGGAATCACTGCAGGAAAGGCAGCCTTTGTAAAGTACATTTACATAATTCATGATGAACTATCTAAAAATTATTCAAAACATTTTGACTTTATTTGAAAATCAGATTTGTGAAGCATAGTGCATTCCACCATGGAACCTGTGGCCCAGAAAATTGCATATTCATTACACAGAATATAATATACCAAAACTGCAACTTCTTGTAACTTTGTAAGTATCTCTTGTTAACGCTCTCTAATGCCCCTTTCATTACTATTCAAGTACATATTAGAAAACAGATTTTGCTGTCGTTTTTCTTATCCGGTGGATTCTTAGTAGCAGATGAGCCCATTATTAGAAAGTAGAAATCCTTTTTTAAAGATGTTTCTTTGCAGATCTTCGGTTTTTATGGAAAATATGAGAGTGTTCACTGGACTGGTCTGGTGAAGGCTCGATTGATTTGGATTTACAGGCGAAAAATAATCAAGAGAAGTTCATGGTGGGTGACAAAGAATCAGTAGAGCTCACAGACAGTGGAACCCAGACAAGTTCTGGGGGGTTTCTTGGTTAGTGAAACCTCAAAAACTATCGATATTTTCATAGAGTTGTTAGCAGTTCTCTTAGGTTAATTGTTCCAATACTTGCAGATATCTAGTGCTTTATGTTCTGCATTTCTTCTACCAGGTTCTGGGCATGGTAGTGATCATAATCATGAAAGAAAATCCATGTGGACATTGCAGAGATCATCTTTCTCGTTCAGACGACTTGGAATGCAAATGTAGTATTGTGTATTCTTATTCTTATTATTATTATTTTTTAAAATTTCCTTCTGAATTGTATTATTATTATTTTTAAAATTTCCTTCTGAATTGTTACCAGAATCTCTACTGTGTATTATTATGTTGTTTCGATACAAAATTCTGTGACAAAGTTTTCAACTTTTGAGCAACCAGGCCAAGCTAGTCAACGGTTAGCTTTGTAATCACATGATTTCAAGTTCGATCCTCAATGGGAGCAGCATATTAGTTTTTTTTGTTTGAACTGATGAAATTTCTCCTTCAGATAGTGACTACAAATTGCTTTTGTAATCTAAAAAAGTTTTCAACTTTATATAATATTATTATTATTTTTTTAATACTATTAAGAGTTCTACATTTTTTTTTAAAAAAAAAAAGAGAAAATATATAAGTTTATATATTTTGAGCACTAACTAATTAATTGAATTCAATTTAATTTTTTTTTTGGGTAATAATTGCCACCGCCTTAAGCGGGCACTATCTGACTCTTTTAAATCTTGCTCCGCTAGCATCAGTAACCAAGAGCTTCAACATATTTTCTGGAGGGGCCTCAAGAACCATCGTATCTGTTTCTACAAATTAATCGAAATTACAAGAAAATCAGCACACTTATTACCTTCCCTCATAATATACACGAAGAAGACTTCCTCAAACTCCAGACAAGGAATTCAATTTGATTTTATTCATTCATTTATGATTTATAACATTATAGCTCAGTAACCTTGATTCAATCTTTATTACAACAGATATCAATTCTAATATGGAGTAGTATTTAGGTGTTGATACATAGATAAAGAGAAAATAGCTCAATAGCTCATGTCATTTTCATTCGATATTCACATATACTTGTGACCATTTTATCCAGAAAATGGTGAATTAGCTCTCAGTGATTAACATGAAAGGATAACTGACGTAAAGAGGAAATTCCCAAGCTCATAAAAGGGTGAAAATCATCCACCATTCCGCGCGCGGAACCTTCTTGCTCCGGCTGTGCTATCTGTAGCTTTGGGCGCCAGTAATGGCGGTTTCATCAACTCATAGCATTTCTGCGGTTATTTCTACACTGCGCGCCCGAAACCGCCCCGCCATTAACGACCCCGTTTCGCGTTTCTCCAATCCGGCTTCAATCGGCTATGTTTCCAGAGGCACTTATCCCCGCCGCCCGTTCGTTATAACCTTCTCTTACAGTATGTTGTTCGATCTCGCCCTGTTGCAGATTTCTCTTTCTATTCAATTTTAATTGTAATTTTTTTTTTTTTTTTAATTTGGTGTTATCAGAATCCAACAATGAACTTCCACTTGACCAGAAAAGGCAGCTGCTCGAACAATATGGTCTCGATCTAGACGAGTTTATGTCCGACCCTTCTCCAAAGGTTTCTCTCTCACACTCTCTCCCGCTTTCGTTTTGTAACTGAGAGTAACATTAGGGTTTTGATGGGTTATAGCCAAAGAGGAGAAAAGAGCAGGCGAAGAACAGAAGGGGCAAGGCTGTTGTTCCTGAAGAAACCAAGCCTCCCCGGGAGACGCATAGGTTGCTTCAGGTTTGCATTTAACAATTTATTTTGTCATTTCTCTACCGTGTCTGCCAGTGATGAAATAAATATAGCTGATAATCGTTTATTAGAACTATTGAAGACATTGTGTTATCAACCAATTTTCTGGTTTCAGTTAGGAGTAGTCGTTTAGGTGACTTATTCATTTGGTGTACCTGTATTTTATTACTAAATGTTACTGTGAATTGTGAATGCTAATCATTTTCTTATGTGTCCTGGATTTTAAAAATCGTGCATATTGTAAAGGGTGATATAGAGGCATATATGATTAAATAAATCAATGGCAAGCTCATTATCTGGAAAGGAAATTTTGGGCTTGGAGGATGGAACTCATAAAGTTGGCTTTTAATTGATTGCTAAACGAGGTTTTGTTTTTCAACTGTATCTGTGGAATCGGATCTAATTTAGTCCTGACGCCTAATACTTTTGGTCATGTAGGTCTTGGGAGGGACAGCTCGACGGAAGAAGTTGCTCTCACCCAAGGGCATGGATGTGCGTCCCATGATGGAAGTTGTTAAAGGTGCAGCATTTGGCATTTTGCAGGTCCACCATACTATCTTTTGTTTGATTTCATTCAGCTTGATATGTTGCAAAGTTCTACCAGATATTTTTCTGCAATTTGGATGAGACAATCATGATATGAATCTATCTTGATGCCTCCACTTGTATCTGCGAAATTGTTCTCAAATGTTTAGGTGGCTGGTGGTTGCCCTGCATCTTTGAGGCCTGGTCGGTGGTTAGACTTGTATAGTGGTACAGGATCTGTTGGTATTGAAGCTATCAGCAGAGGCTGTTCAGAGGTTTGTCCTATGATTGATGTCTGTGTTTGTGTGTGTGTGTATTGACACTTTGAGTGATGATATAGCTGCATTCGACTTGCCATCTTGTGATTGGAGTAACTGAGTAAGTATTTATTACTGGCTAAGAATGACTAGCTTCCTTGGGAGGTCAAACTTGATTATGATGCAATCTTGGCATTTACTTTTGCTATATCATTTTGAACTCTATCTTCATATTACTTCTCATCTTAAATGCCTTTGTTTTTTGGCTTTTTATTTTCTGATCTTGAAAACTTGCAGGTGCATTTTGTTGAGATGGATCCTTGGGTAGTCTCAGATATTCTGCGCCCAAACTTAGAATGGACTGGTTTCCTTGATGCTTCAGTTATACATACTGTTCGTGTTGAAAACTTTTTGGAGCAAGCAGAACATTTTGTTGGTATGTCAGTTCCTCTTGTCCTCCTTCCCCTGCCCCCTAAAAAAAAAACAAAAAGGATATGTCTGAAAATTACTACAATAAAAGGAACATGTAAAGCCTCAATTGGTTGCAGTTAACAATTTCGGTTAAAATTTATTTCTACTAGTAAAGGTGAGATAGAGAGATTACTGATTGAAGGCTTGAAGTTACCTCTGCTCATCTAGCCCGTAGACAAAATTAAACCTCTTTCCACCCATAATTTCTCAAAATGAGGAAACAATATATGTTGTTCTTTTGGATGCTGGAATAGATTATGTGTTTCAAGTTTGAAATGTCTTAAGAAAAACTGACATGCTGTTTTTTGCCTCACATTTTACAAATCTGACAGATTTGAGATTTCTTTTTGCAGGCAAATATGGGGCTTTTGACTATATTAGTGTCACGCCTCCATACATGGAAGTAGATTATGGCATATTGATGAATCAAGTTTCAAAATCCTCAGTTGTGGGGGAGGATACCTTCATAGTGAGTCAGTTTTTGTACTTTGTATTTGATATTTTCCTTTTCCAGCAATTGTTTCTTCTGTTGTTATGGCATTTTGGTGTGCTATAGGTAGTAGAGTACCCTTTAAGAACTGACATGCCAGATTCATGTGGCGGCCTTCTGAAGGTATGTCTATGACCATTTTCTTTTTCATGTGTACCATCAAAAGCTAGTTGAGTCCAGGGTAACAGGACTGTGTTTTAAATGTTTATTTTTACTTAATTTATTTATCTTTGGTGGCCTAAAAACTACAGATATCTGATCGACGGTTTGGTCGAACACATCTAGCCATATATGGACCAAAGTGGGCACAAAAAAGACGAAATTGAGGAAAGACTCCTATGGACAAAGTAGACAGAGCCTGATACAAGTAGAAAGTGGATATGGCAATGTGCAATTTTCTTTTGTGGAAGCCATGTGCATCTCATACTAGACTTAAAAGGGGTGCGACCTGTATTGCCGTCAAACGTGGCTATATTGGCATGGTAGTTTTCTGTTGTTGGTCTACTCTGTCTACTTGTGTGGTTTCAATGTTTGTGCATCAGCATATGATGAATGGTCTTATATATTGCAGGTCAATTACTTCTATCGCACTTTCTTCTATCCTAGCTTTTTGATGAGTATGAGGATCTACCGGTTGCCTAGGCATAACATTCTGAGCCAATTGTGAGAAAGCAACATTATTAGTTTCTACTGAAAGTTTTAGTTTAGTAGCTGATCTGTACCTATATAAAACACTTTCTTCAATTCTGTAAGTTATTAATCCATTTACCATCACTTTTACAGTGTGCTGATGTTCAGTGAACCTCACTATAAGGGATTTGTCTGTTTTTAGTAGGATGCTGCAATGCATTTTGGGTTCCAAGAGAGTTTCATTGGCCCTTGCTTTAATTATGTATATTAGAACTATTCCTGTAAATGGTGTTTTGTGCCAAACAGCATTTAGTGCCTGTCGGTTTTTATGATTACTCTGGATTGAGATAACAAATTAAGTTGATTTGAGCAGAATACTTGATAATACCAAAACACTGACCTTTCAGGACATTCTTAACCCAAATCTGCAGATTTACATATTTCCATAGCTGTGTTTAGTCTCCTTTTTCCTTCTTTTTGTTTTGTCAATTCCAATAATGTTAACTTTGTGACAAAGTGTGAAATACCAATATCAAATCGAGGATCCTGTTCCCATGGACACCCATCATTTTATTTTTTATTTTTTGTTATTTTTTTTTTTTTTTGGGGGGGGGGGGGTAGGGGTGGGTGGGGAGGGTGGAGATTTGGTTGGTCTTGGTTTTTTGTTTCTTGAATCTTGAGAGGGGGGCTGTGAAATGGAGAAAAAGAGGGCATTGGGTGACCCTGCAAACAGCTCCTTTTATGAATGCTGCTTGGACCAAATATTTGTTGAGCTGATTGTCTATCAGTTTTGTGATAAATAATAGTAAGCATGTTGCTAGCTAGCTAATTTGAAGTCTTAGAGGCCATCTCAGGACGAGGAACAATTTTGTGAACCTAAGTGAAAAATATGTGTCTTTTTTTTAACATGGATAGTGGACAGTGTTATTTGGCACCTTGAGTTTCATCTAAGCAAGCCTCTACCCTTTTCTTTCAACAAAAAATGGATTAAGAGGGTTTGTTTATCCAATGAGCCATGATTATTGCGTGGTGAATTGTTGTTAGTTTGATATTGGTGGTGTTACAGTTATACTTGGGGTGATTTGATGGTGATCAGTTAAAACCATAAATAATATTTACTACAATGTACTTTGGTTTCCACTTTTTCAGCGTATCCCCATGAAGGACAGTTTGGATGATAGGTGCTTTCAATCTTTCTCACTTCTACATCCTTACTTTATGTTCCCGGTTTCTTGCTGTCTTTGATCATTCACTGGTATGTTTTAACATATGCAATTCAATAACTACTTCATACACTATCTTGTAGATTCGCAAAGGACTGCACACTGGTAGGCCTCAATGAACACTCCTACATATTGTCTGGTGAACTTGTATATCTTTTTCAGGTTCCGCCTTTTAACTTATATATTATTTCGTTTTCAACATGTTCGAGAGTGTTGCCCCGGCGATATATTCCCTGTTATTGCTAGAAAAGTGCCTCTAATAATATGCTCAATTAGGCATGACATCTTGTCTATCTCCTCTGAGTGTTACCATCATTTTCTTGCATTTTGGGATACTGTGGTGGTAGATCAAATAATTAGACAGGCAGAATGAAGGTGGGTTTGTTTGTTTGAGAATAGTAACCTTTCACATTGATTTGGAGTTGTTTAACCGATACCAGGAAGGAGGCGCCAGGTAGTGGAAAGACTAATAACTCCAATTTAGACGGGATTGCCAACAGAGGACAAAACCCATAATAGTCGAGAGACTTTAGCTGCTATTAACTTAATTTTTTTAAGGACTGAGGATGTCTATTTGATTATTGCAGAGACTGCAGTGTGTATGTTATTTTGTCCCTTCGTCGTTTAGGATGAAATATTGTCAGAGTGATAGTGGTGAAAACGGGAAAGAGGATCCCAGCTAATCAGACAGACACTACATCTGTCATACTTTGTCAGGGTATTGTGTTTTTCTTCCCTTTTGTCTTCTGCTGTTCATAAACTAGCCAAAGAACGATGAATGATGAAACAGGGATTAGTATAAAATATTCGATGAAAGGAAATGGAAAATCCAATGTCATTTTCCAAGTGGGACATTCCAACAAGAAGGGTGAAAATAAAGTGAGACACCAAAGCTTCTCTTTCCCTTTAAAACGAACTGTGCCTGAAAAATAAAGGGGGAGTGTCCCATTGGCTGTTGCATGAAAATGCACACACCACAGTAAAGGAATAGTTCCCAATGAAACCAATCAACCTAAAGCAGTATGGGACAACTAACTTTGTTTTTAAATAGTTTTCTTTTTCTAATTTTAATTGTTTTTCCCTCTTCTTGCTTTTAGTTTCTTTTTTGTTTCTTTGGTTGTATAAAAGTCTTGGCTATGATAGTTGGTCTTTCAAAAAAGAGTGACAGAATTGCTTGTGTTCTCTATGGACACAACTGCTTAGTGCTTACCCACCTTCATATTTATGCTTGAAAATTTTGATCTGTTAGCTCCTACCTGCAACATTGTCGTCTTAACAGAAATATGGTGGTTTTGTCCTCCCGGCCTTTACGCCTAGCTTATGGTGAGTTGAAGTTTGGTAGCAGAGAGTAGCGGGGGGGAAAGAGATATGGCTGGCAGGGGTGGTGGATCGAGCACTGTGAAGGCTTCAATAGCGGGTGTTTTATTTGTTAGTTTTCTCTGGTTTTTGTTTGTAGGAGTTTTGGCCAACAACCAGGCAACAAAAGCTGACATAGTAGAGGCCACGACGATCCCCCCAAGAAATTTCGACATTTGGAAGCTGATAAGAAGCAACAGACAACATTCTCTTCATCACGCCTCTGATTTCAACTATGTCAGCAAAAGAAGAGTACCAAATGGACCTGATCCCATTCACAACAGGTATTCTCACCCCCCCTGCACTCTCTTCATTGCTTTAACGTAACAGAATTCATCTAGAGTAGCATTTTTATCGTCGTTTCCTACAATTTGTTCTTCAGGAGAGCGGGGGAATACAGACAACAGCCTCTTCAACCCTGAGTACAAAAAAGCTTCCCATGGAGAAGCTGCAGACTGCAGTTCATATGCAAATGTTTTATTAGTTTTACATCATTAATCTGTCGAGACATCCTAGATTAAGTTTCCATCCTTGTTTGTTGTTCTGGCAATGTCGGTTTTGTGCTGAATGTAAAACATTGAGAAAACGAAGCGTGTGATTGTAGAGATCAAAGACTGAAATTACAAGCAGCAACATGAAGCTAAAAATGGTGGTTGTATGCAGGGTGTTAACAAAGGCCACAGCTTTTTGAGGGGAGTCATATGATAGTCATAGGTATGTGTTTGTCTGCACTTTTTAAGATTTATGGGTTGTCTTTCTTTTTTTTTTTTTTTTTTTTTTTTGCATTGCAGAAGAAAAAGAAAAAAGAAAATGAGAGAATTACAGTGAAAAAAAGTGGAGTGCTTCCCAAGAAATCTAACCGTGTGTGAATTAAAGGAGCATTGCCTTTGCTTTTAACGATTGGATTGCCTCTTTTTGCACCAAATGGCTCGTGTTTCCCAGATAAAGCAGTGGCACGGGTTTGTCTTAAAGCTGCTCTTTCCCCAACATTTTTTCTTCTTCTTTGCCTTGATTTGTGCTCACGCATAATTTTAGAGTTATACCGAGCATCGTAAAGACAAAAGTAATTTTAGAGGAAACCAACATTTAAATATTGAACGTGGGCTTTAATTGGATAGCCTTATTGACATCAACGCAATTGTTATATCATGAACTAGGGTCCATATTGCATTGTGAACCAGATACAAAAATTTTGTACTCAATTAACACATTTTGTACTTACCATTAATGGTTTCTGTACATATAAACAAGTAACTTGATAATTGCTGATACATAATATAATAACTACAGGTATAGAAACTATCAACTGCATGTACAAAATGTGTCAACTATAAATACAGAATCTGACTTGATAATTGCTGACACATAATATGATAGCTACCGTTATAAAAACTATTAACTGCAGGTACAAAATGTGTCAACTATAGATGTAGAATCTAAAAGTTATTTTTGGACCAGAGTCTACAATGAAGGTAGACTCTCGTCCATGATATAATTTGCAAGGTGTACAGTATAACAAAAAATAATATGCATAATTGTATTTAGTACTATTGACACAAATCATTATCAACACCGAGAAAAATCATTCCAATTGGATGAAGTGTGGGTCTTGGATCCTTTTTAGGTTTGATTAGACTGTCTTAGAGAGAAAGTGAGACCGGGTCAAAAGTAAGGAGATTCAAAGTTCAAACGCATGGAATGATGGAAGAAATTGTCCTTCATTGTCGTTTCATGCCTACACCACAAAATCCCTCAAATTTTGGGTTCCTAGACTCATGTAGATTTTGATGTGTGTGACTGTGGATACAAATACATATCTACTCTCTACCTGAACTCATGACAGATATTTTTTATTCTACCCGAGTTCGTCATGAACCCGGTTATCCACTATTCAAACCCGTTAATATTAGGGTTCAAGAAAGTCGGGTACTCGAAAATATCAGATCCATTACCCCTCCTTTTAACTCACTAGTCAGTATACAAGGTATATACATGCCATTAAATCATGAATGTATCAACAGCTTCAGGTTAGGAGTTTTTTCCAATGCTGAAAATTCAAGATTGGAGGTGTAAATTACAAATGTCAATAGAACAATAATCAGCAGTTGCTTTTGATCCAACAAGTACTTGACAAAAGGAAGGTTTATGAACTAAATCATGGTATACAGCCATAGTAACAGACATATTTTCAAAACCCGATAGTAAAAAGGACATTACATTACAACACTTACACTAGAGGCATACGAGAGAGCGTACCAGATGAGAGAAACATTTGGCGAGGCACAATGGTTTTTCATGCCTTCTGCATATATTACATAGGACTGCTAGTATCTTGTTCGGTGAAAATTAGAGGGAATTCGTCGTATGGTTCAGAGATACCTTGCTGTGCAGCCATTTTGTTCAATGCTTCGTATGCCTGATACATCGACCACCTTTCCTTGGAGCGAGAGACAACACAATTGCATGCGATTCTTAGGAACTGCACGATCTGTTCATCGTGGCCCCTCCCACATATGCTCTTATCAATGACATCTTTAATACGACCCGATCCAGAGTGCTGATTTACCCAGTCCACCAGGTTGCCTTTAAAGCCTTCTTCAGCAGTGGTGAGTTCGAGTGGTTTTTGCCCGGTAGCCAACTCCAGAAGGACAACTCCGAAGCTGTAAGCATCGCCTTTCGTTGAGGGAATCATTGTGCTCGAGTACTCGGGAGCTACATACCCGAATTCACCTAAATCCCCCTTCACAAAACTAGTCTCGTGTGCATCTGGAGGTGCCATAAGCCTCGCCAACCCGAAATCCATTATCCTGGCATCGAAATCCTCATCCAGAAGAATAGCGTGAGAACTGAAATTCTGGTGGAGGATTGGCGGTTGACAACCGTGGTGAAGCCAGGCAAGCCCCCTGCCGGCACCTAGACCAATCCTAAACCTAGTAGGCCAATCCAGCATACCAAGATTTCCATGCAACAACGAAAACAAAGTCCCGTTCGATAGGTGCTTATACACCAAAAGCTTCTCCTCCTCCACAGTACAGAACCCCAGAAGTGGCACCAGATTCGGATGCCTGAGCTGCCCTAACCTATGCATTTCCATCCTAAACTGCTTCTCGCCCATCTTGCAATTATTCAGCCGCTTAATTGCCAGCACAGAACCATCACGCAGGATAGCTTTGTAAGCCGTTCCAGTCCTGATCGAGTTTATGATGTTCTCCGTGCTAAAATTGTTGGTTGCCGCCAACAAATCCACCACCTTAACCTTCACGAGCGGTTTCTGGAACAACACGACTTGAGTAAGCCTATGATCTCTGAATATCCCGACCCAACTATCCGATTCCGCCTTCCCAACTCCATAGCCTTTCTTCCTCCTATTGTTGGCAGACTTTGTGAAATACCAATACCATGCTCCAAACCCTAACAGCATAGAAGCAGCAGCCCCAAAAACACCAGCTGCAATTATTATGGCCAAGTTTTTCTTGCTTAATCCTCCACATTTCCCAGCCGGGCCGCCGCAAAGATCAGTTCCCCCAAAATCAAACCCGGAGGGATCGAAGCCGTCAAAAGACGCCGGAAGCCTACCGGAGAGATCATTATTTGCTACAGAAAGTGTCTTGAGCCTACCCAAACTAGCAATCTGAGATGGAATGTTTCCAGTCAATTTGTTATCGTTAAGTATCAACTTATTCAAATACGTGCAATTGCCGAGATCCGGGGGGATTGGCCCGGTCAAATCGTTGCTGGACAAGTCTAGGGTTACTAAATAAGGCAACCAACGACAAATTTGAGAAGGTATGGTACCGGAGAGTCCATTACCGGAGAGATCGAGGTTCTGCAAGCTGTGACAGTCCTGCAAGGCGCCGGGAACCTCGCCGCCGAGGTTCAACTCCCGGAGCTCCAACCCGATCACGCGATTCTCGTTGTCGTTCCAGCACGCCACGCCGACGAACTTGCAGATGAACCCGGCCGTCGTGTTGTCAAAGTTCCACAGCCCCAGGTTGCCGTCCGGATCCCTAAACGACCCCTTCACACCTTGCAAACACTTGACGTCATCTTCAGCCACCCCAACTCCGAACAGCACCAGAAGAATCGAAAGCTTCAAAAAACGGGAAAACCCAAACCCAACCATCCTAAAATCCGCTCAGTTCTACAGCTTCAGAGCTCTTCTTCGACTGGTCCAGATGAGATGAGAAGTTTGGTATGCAGCGTTGAACTGTAGAGGCATGGACTTTCAAAGCCGAAAGCTATTCCCCATTTGTTTTGTAATTCTGGGTGAATTGTTTAATATTATCCATTTTGTCTTCTTGTGTTTTACAAGGTAGCTGATCAATAATGGAATTGCAGTATATTTGACTGGAATTTTTTAGGTCTTTGGTGGGATTTGAAAATTGGTTTATTAGTGTCTAAGATGATGACAACAAACTCTTTGTGAAAGGTAATGGAGTCTTCACCGTTTAAAATGGATACTTACACATCGCACTTACCTAATACTCTGACCAGGGGATATTAAGGCTAAAAATGTTATTCACTGGCCTATAAATAACTCGGCAATTGAGTGAAATATAATTATAATATTTTCTATGTGTGATTTATCCGAACGTAGTGATTATAAGTTTACAACAAATATATATATATATATATATATATATATATATATATATATATATAGGCTTTGGTTCCAATGAAGTACCTAATTAAAATGAGATCATGAGATCCTATCACTACCATTCACTCATTTAAATTTGATGGCTTAGATTAAAAGAGATTTTGAAAATAATTATGGTTAGATTCTAAGCTTAGGGAGATTCACGTAATTGTGTATGCCTATTTATTTTTGGGTAGAATACTAATGTAGTATTCTGCACAGTAATAGCCTACCTAAGAATGGTAATAACTATTACTACCATGTGATTACATTGCTATATGACATTATTTCAAAGGTTGAACCTCAACCTAAAGGCCCCCCACACCCCGGCCCGAGCATTTGGGAGGATGTAAATCATGGTGACTCAACTGAACATGAACCATAGAGGCTAGACCGGTGCTCACTGCGCACAAGGAACCATCCTCACTTTGAAAGGTTGCTCACACACTGCCGCTGGTGAGACTCGATCCCTGGTCATTGCTATATGACATTCAATGACATTCAATTTACGCAGGTATGGGTAGTATTCTAATGAAAAGAATTATTAATTTTTTTTTGTGAGCAGCATTTGTATGATTTTGTCTGGAGTGTGCATAGATGATAAAAAGTGTGTGCATGATGTTGTACACTGTAATAATACTGATAACCATTACCATTTTTCGTAGGAAAAAAAATGTTCAAAACCCGTAGGCGATATGTAATCGATGGTGTGTGCGTGTTTTCGCTTTGGCTTGTGCAAAATGTAAAATGGGTGTTGTACAATTAGGTTGCGTTTATTTTACAAAATAAATAAATAAATAAATAAAAATCCTGAGTATATTTGAAGGTGTGTCCATAAGTTTGTATTGGCGTGTGTGAATTTTAAATTGGGAGCATTACAATGTTATTTCTTTGAAGTGATATCAAAAAACAATTATTGGTGGTGTGGGTCGATGCATGTTGAGTGTTTGTTTTTCAAGTAAAATGGATGCACGAGTAGTATTTGTTTGTTACTGTTGTGCAGTACATATTTATTACGTGGTGGTGTGTGCGGATATGTGATATAGATTTTAGAAAAGGAGCATTTAATTTTTTAATTACTTTTAAAAATATAAGTGATGATCTAAAAAAGTATTAGGAGCAAGTGTGAATGCAACTGTTGTAGTTTGGTATGATTACTATTTGTCTGTTGTTGTGTGAATCACATTAGTTCTAGACGGAGGTGTGTGCGTATATAATATATAGCGTGTGCAAATTATTGTTATGTGGCATTCAAAGTCCTATCAACCATGGCTACGCTTGGGCCTATATAAGGGGTCTTGGCCCTCCATTTTAGGGGTTCTTCATCTCTCCTCCATCTCTCTACAATGAGAAGCCTTTGGACTCCCTATCCCTCAATGATAACTCTCTCCCTTATCTTTAGAATATGTACTAGACAACATACAAGAACATTCATGAATAAAATACATTCTTGAGCTACATTTATGGCTTATTCCCTTTGTTATTATTCTACTATTCTCTTACTTGCTCTATACATACGGTACTATATACACTCGGGTAATTATCCACATCAGTATCAGAAACATTGATAAAATAAGACAGACTCTGATACTAGCATCAGAGTTTGTTTATAATATGGTATCAGAGCATTGATCAAACAAGATAGGCTCTGATACTATCTTATAAGCTAAGATTAGGCTAGAGTCAATCAATTGGGCTATAATGCACATGAATCAAACCACACTAAAAGATTCAACCAATTAGCTAGTCTAACCCGTAGCCTTATAAACACATATTTTCCCTCTTATTTTATTAATGTGGGATTTCCAAAAAAGATAAATCCTCTAGCTAAAGTGGCTTAGGACATTGGTAGTCACGCATTTGGAGAAGGGGAAAAATGCCATCGGAATCGAGGAGGATTTCCCCTCATATTTTCGCTTGCATTTGTACGACTCATTAGCTTAAGCAAGGCCTCTGCCATGGATAACAAGTGATCCCTTATTAACCACAGTTTTTCTCTAGCATAAAACCATGGATTCTAAAGCTCTAAATCCAAAATCCATATCCTCGGCAGCATCCCCCAATTTTTCGATCATTTTAATCAACATTTCGTGATGATTTTCCAGAGCAGCTAAATGCAATAGTAGCTTCGCACTCACGACAACGATAGCAGTTCTGGCTATGTTATCTTTAAAGTCATCCTTTAACTGCTGAAAAACAATAGGTGTGATCCAACTAAAAGAATTAACATGACTAGAAATTAAATCATACATCAAAGAGAGTGCCACTAATCCATTCGGTGTTATTGAGGCAGTATAAAACATTCAAATATAAAATCCCATATCTCTTTCCACTCTGAAAAATTCAGAACTGCCATTATTGAAATATCGTCGCAGTATCTCTTAAAGGCATTCCATTCATTTTCTGCTTTCAAACGCTGCATTAGTAAGATCCGAAAATTTGATTGGAGCCTTGCTGGGATATAATTCCACTTCACTCCCAAGAAAATGATGGTGAGCTGAACACAGCAAGATATAATTTGCGGATCACCGGAGGTACGGATCGCAATGGCAAGCTTCGATGCTACGCCGTCGGTAAACTTGTCGACGTCGACATCATATAGGGTTTATGCGTCGCATTTGACGGCTTCATCCAGATCGTTCAGGAAGTTGTAAAAAGCAACTGGGGTACCTTCATTGAAAAGCTCTCTGGCATTGGATTCAAGCATTTGTTCTGAACTAGATGTCGTCATTAGAAAGTAAGGTACTTGACAATGGAGTGAAGAAAGAAAATGCAAAGGAAGAAGATAAACAGCGGGAGAGATGAAGAAAATTGAAGTATATTCTGTAAGGAAGAGTATTAGTTATAACATAATGTATGTAATTTCAAACAGAATAACTGCAGCAGAACTTCTAACAGCTACGTCACCCCTTTGCATGCTGCACGTGAGCTTGTATATACATGTATACTTTGATATAACACGTAGTAGAAAGCATAAAGAAAGAAATAAAGAAAGAAAGGAGACTCGAATGATTGAAGGTGATTTTGGTAGATGACATGTTAAAAGTAGTTAATTTGCCAGTAAAATCCTTTATTGCATAAAATGAATACTCTGTAACTAATTGATAGGACAGGATGGTTATAAGGGATAAAAGTCATAAAACGATGACCTTCATTGAAGAATGATATTTTTTTATTTTACAATTTAACGAATAGTCAGTAAATCAACACTATCGTTTTGATAAATAAATAAAACTAATAATGGTATGCATTATGTGCGTAGGTTGTTATTGCCCAATATAAAATTATATATAGATATGAAATGAAATTATTTTAAATGTATATTATTCTTTGACGTTTTATAAGAAGCAACTATGAAAAAAAAATTGGGGATGTGATTTTTGTGTTAAGATCGAATGTGTAAAATTTGGAAAATGTGTTTGTGGTAAGGAAGTAAGAGTCTAGATACCTACAAAACCCTAAAATATCATATGTATTTATTTGAGTGATTCTTCTAAGATTGTTTTACGGATTTTATTCCATGAGGTTATTTTACGGATTGAGTGAACATATAAATGTAATATTTATATGGTAATATTAATCAATAATAAAGTGTTTGAATACTTTATTATTTGATGGTGTGCACAAGTTTAATTCAATTTTTTTTTTTGAATACTACTGACTTTGTTATAATGCAGTATCTATTTATAACTACTTTCTCAACTTACTGAAACACAAAAAACGTCAATACTTAAAAGTTGATACCGCATCCATTGAAACTCAAACCTATGAGAGAGTCACTTGCCCATAAGGTCATTGGCAAGTCTTGATTTTAGTTGCACATGACTTTTATATTACAGAGTGTTGGTGGTGGGTTTTTTTTTTATTTTTTTGAAAGGGGTGGTGGTTTAAATATGTGAAGGGATGTATATTGTTGTGGGCTTGTGGCCTTCTAGATTGTCAATATTTCGTATTTAGGCTTAGATAGCTTCATATGCCTGAATATCCAGAACTTTAATAGTTGGGCTTGGAGGCTGCTAAAAAAAAATATGGTGACAATATAGGCCCACCTTAAACCAGATGGACTTCTGTGGCAAATTATGCTGTGCATCCGTATGCACCAAGCATGGTGCATACGGATGCAAAAACGACGTCGTTTTTATAAAATGCGTGTCTCCCCTTTAAAAAAAAAATTAAGTTCAAAACTATAATTCCATAATTGATGAACTATAATTCCATAATTGATGAACTATAATTCCATAATCTAATCTATGAACTAAAATTTTCAGAATGAATGAACTAAAATTTCAGAATCTATGAACTAAAATTTCAGAATCGATGAACTATAATTCCAGAATCGATGAACTATAGTTCCATAATCGATGAACTATAATTCCATAATCCATGAACTAAAATTCCATAATGAATGAACAAAATAATGTTGTTACTAGGAATCGAACTTGATTTTTTTTTTTAAAGGGGAGACGTGCGTTTTTAATAAAACGACGTCGTTTTTGCATCTGTATGCACCATGCATGGTGCATACAGATGCACAGCATAACTATTCGACTTCTGTGGAATGTTATTTTTATTTATTTATTTATTATTTTTTTTTTGAGGGCGTGGAATGTTAATTAGTTTGCCTACCATTTAATATG